CGGCAGGAAGCGAGAACCCCCCCCCCCCCCAGGGGCGATGGCCACGCAGCAGTCCCTTCTCAGGATTTTAGGCATGCGTGCACATGTGCCAAGGTGAGTCTTAAGCCCTGGGTCCAGGTCTCGAACCTCAGCTGATATGGTTGGAGTCCAGCAACGTAACCACTATGCCATCTGCTGTCCCAATACTTGTATTTCAGACCTCTTAACTATTCTTTATAGTAAGTAGCCATCTGTTCACAGGTAAAGGAACTGGTTTCAGAGAGGCAAAATGACGTATCCGAGGATCCACAGCTAGGAAGTAGCAGTGACATGATCTGAACCCCGGCCTGGTGCATTCCTATCTGCAGTACTAACTCCATAGGGCTAAGCTGAAACCCTCTCCAAATTGACACTGAAGCTTAGGAGTGCTAGCTACCAAATTAATTAGAAGAAAAAGAACTTGCAGACCAACGGGGAAAGATCAGGGTGCACTATAGAGAGTACCACTCCATCCAGGCCTCGTTCCTGCCCCAGATTCCTCTCAGTCCTGTGTGTCTGTCCTAAAGGGGCTTTTCCAGCATTGGAAGTTTGTCTAGCAGCTGATGTCCGTCTTTCTCCCCAACACTCACTGCTCTAAAAAGAGACCCAAGGTCACAGCAGCTCCCCAGGGCCTTCACATCTCCCCAACGTCCATGGGAACTCTCCTCCCAGGCTTTCACACACACCCTCCTGTGCTGCCTCTCCAGGTCCCAACAGGGGCCTGAATTCTCAAGAGATGGATAGTGTATGCCTTTGCTGGTCTAGGCTGGGGGTGGAGGGGGGATGGAAATGTTTGGATGAGACAGGGCAGGAATTAGGGTCAACCCCAGGTCCTTTAAGAACAGGGGCCAGGGACCAGCAGATGGTGTAATGGTTACATCACTGGACTCCCACATAGTTGACTGCGGTTTGAGTCCCAGATCTGCAACCTACAACTCACACCAGAAGAGTGTATGTAAGCCCAAAATCCCAAGGAGAGAATGAAGGAGAAGGGATTGTGTTGTGGCTATCCCCCCTGGGGGGTAATTTCTTGCTTTCTGTCTGTCTCTGGTGAGTGCATACACCCTATAGCAAAAAATCTCTCAAAAAAAATTAAAAAGAATAGGGGCCAGGCTATGAAGAGATGATTGCCTTCCAAACCATCTCAACTGGGAGCTGATAAAATAATATAGTGGCTATAGTTTATTGACCATGTGGGATTCAGCTACCTTAACCTCTGTGCCACCTGCTGGCCCAATTACACAGAGTATTTAATCCTCATAACTATGAGGTCGGAACTATCGTTATCCCATTTCATAGATGCCAAACAGGTTTGGGTTAAATGTCTTGCTCAGGGTCACAATAAGTGACCCAGAAGAAAGAGCAGACTTCAGCCCATTCCTAAAATTAAATCTCAGCGATAATACATGTGAAGTGGAAGAGAAGTTACAAAGTAGAAGAAACAAAATTACTTTCTATTTCAAAAACTTCCCAGAATATACAGCAACAAAAACCTCAAGGAACAGATTTCTGTCGGGTCCTGCTTCAATAAACAGATAAGATAAAACATGATAGTATCATTTTTTTTATTATGCCAGATCTTTAATGACTGTTTCCATGTCTGCATTTGTACATTAGTCATTTACTTAGTAAACCTCTTTTTCAGCCAAATCTGACCAAATTAATAGAAACCCTGAGGGGTCTAAATGAATAACGCAGACAGACTTGGTGTAGACTAGAGTCAGATGTGGGACCAATTAGCCCACAGACTGACCATGCTAAATCCTGGGCCGTGCCATTCAGTCTCAGTCCGTGTCGTCTACGCGGCGGTACCATCGGGTTGAAGGTGATGATTGTTAGATTTCCCCTGTCCGCTTCCTGCTGCCCTTCCTCCAGCATGAGCAAGTGGCAGGGAATGGGCAGCAGGCTGGGGAGGAGTGGAAAGTCCCTGACAACAGATGGGAAGGTTATCACATTCTGTGTGGTCCAGAATTCAGCACATCCTTTCTCCTCCCCTCCCCTTTACCTCCCACCACTGTTGGGCTTCTCCACACTAACTCGAAGCTTCAGGCAGGTTCTCCCTGTTGGAGGCAGGACTGGGGGCAGGGGTGACTAATTCCTGAAGCCTTGAACACAATCTGAGGCACAGCTGTGCTATATATAGCCCAAGGGAGCTCAGTGACCAGATAGGGCAGGGGAGGGACTTGGATCTTTTGCCCTGAGCTATGAGAGCTGTGAGTGAGGGGATGATGAAGAACAAACTAGACAAGGGATAGAGGATGCTCCCTGTTAGGACTGCAATGGAAAGGAACTGATTGAAGGGCTGGGAGACTCAGAAGAGAGAACACTGGGCCATGAGTGGTGTCTCGGGGACTTGCTGAGCACAGTGGGTTAACAGGAACAGGCAGGGGCAGTGGAAGTTTCCAGATAACATGGCTAAGCTGAGGCCGCCTTTAGGAGGCGCCTGGGGTGGAGAGAGTATAACATTCCTCTCCTTTTGAAAATGGGCACGGGGTGGTGGGGGGCAGCGGGTGGCATAGTGGTTAAGGCCATTGATCCCATATGACCAGCTGCACAGTTTGAGTCCCAGACCTGGCAGCTTGGTTGCATGTGTGCCCAAAATCCTGAGAGATTGTAGAGTGGCCATGCCTCCAGGAAGTTATCACTTTCCTTATCCACCCCCCTTTTTTGCAAGCATACATGCCCTATAGCAAATTTTTAAAAAGGAAAACAGATATTTGATTCCAAGGACCTTGTAGCATTTCTGCAAGGACAGCTTCAAGAGCCACAGACTTGAGGTGAGAAAAGTACCTGTGGTACCCACTAATCTTTCCAGAAAGACTGTTACCTATTTGAAAAGGTTTTAAATGGTCGTGTAAGGGACCAGCAGGTGGCATGGTGGTTAAGGTGCTGGACTCCCACATGGCTGACCATAGTTTGAGTCCCGGACCTGGAGACTTGCTTTCTCACTTTTCTTCTCTTTCTGTCTCTCTCAGGTGGGTACACATGCCCTATACCAAATTTTAAAATAATAATAACAAAAAATAAATGGGTGTGGACAATGGTAATGAAAGGCTGAATCAGACTGCAGTAAGACATGGAATCATCTGAAAGAATACTTCTGAGCTGGAGAAGACACCAGTGGGGACCCCTGTCTCATATGATAAATACTTCAGAGAGATGAAATGTTTGTAAAAGTCTATGTGCTGGGTTCTTTTGAATACCCAATTACCTGGCTTCCTTTAAGTACAGCATGGGAAGGGACTAATGTTGAGAGCCCACAAGGTTTAGGAACAACATATTTGGGATCAGCAGTTAGCGTAATGGCTATGTCGCTAGACTCCAATGTAGTGGACTGAGGTTCAAGTCCCAGACCCGGTGGCTTAAACTCACACCAGGCACATATACATGTGTGCCCAAGATCCCGAGAGGAGAATGGAGAAGGGATTGCGGCGTGACCATCCCCCCGAGGGGTGATTTCTTGCTTTCTATCCCTCTGTGTCTCTGTCTTTCTGGCGATCGAACAAAACCTCTAAAAAAAAGGAACAACATATTTGATTTCATCCTCATAATGACCCCAACAGGTAGATCTCATCCCATTTTACAGATGAGGAAATCAAGCCCCGGAGAGGTTAAACAACTTACCCAGATCACACAGCAAGTAAATGGCTATCCAACCCAGTGATATGGCTATAAATCACTTTACCCTGATGGGGCCGGCCAGGTATTGTGGTTAAAGTGCAGTATGCCCACATGGCCAACCACGGCTCAAGTCCCGGATCTCATAGCTTGAAAAATCAAACCATGTGTGTGTGCATGCTCAAAATCCTGAGACGAGAATGGAGGAGGGGACAGGACTGCAGCATGACCATCCCCTGGGGGGCGATTTCTTTCCCTCTCTGTCTCTGGTTAGTGAATATACCCTATGGGGAAAAAAACTTTTAAGAAATCATTTTACAGCAAGTTACAATTTATAATCTTGGTTCATATACATTTTTATCATCTAATTCTCACAACTACCTTAAAAATACAAGTAAATAAGAATAAAAACAGCTAGACAGGCTGGGTTTTGAACCCAAGGGTTCTAGCAAGGACCACATGCCTACCCCTCAGCTTCTCATCAGGACAGGCTCAGTCCTGGGCCAGCGACTGTGTTCTGGGTTTATCTGGGTGCCTGGTGGATGGTACCAGAGCACGTTTTTGTGTTTTTGTTTTGTTTTTAGGTTTTTGCCATAGGGCACCTTTGCTTACCAGAACCACAAAACGGGGAAGTGAGAAATCACCCTCCAGGGAGGACGGCCATAGAACAATTCCTTCACCTCCATTTCTCCTTTTAAGATTTGGGCTCGGGCCAGCAGATGGTGTGGTGAAGGGCGCTGGACTCTCCTAGATGGCCAACAGTAGTTCAAGTCCTAGACCTGGTGGCTTGCTCTCTCACTTTCCCTCTCTCTGTTTCATCAAACTGAAAAATAATAATTAATAAATTTAAGTTAAAATAATTCTAAAAAAAAGATTTTGGACTCACATGAACATACATCGCACCATGTGTTTTGGGTTTTTGTAAAAAGAGATTTTTGCTATAGGGCAGATGTGCTCAGCAGAGAGACAGAAAGTGAGAAATCACCTCCCGGGGCGCTGGCCACTCTGAAATCCCTTCTCCTCCATTCTCCTCTCAGGATTTTGGGCACACACCCATATGTGTCTGTTGTGAGTTTTAAGTTGCCAGGTTCAGGACTCAAACCGCAGTTGACTACTTAAAGAGTCCAGTGACGTAACAATTATGCCATCTCTTGGTCCCCACTTTGCATGTTTTTCAAGCTGCTGGGTCTGGGACTTGAACCACACAACTGGCCTTAACCACGACATCACCTGCTGGTCTTAGTGCAGGTGCTTAACTTTCCTCAACCCTTCTTCCCCACCCCCAACCCTTGCACATACTACACCTACCTCTCACTCTTACAAGAAAATCAACCTTAATTTAAAATCCAATGTTAGTGTGCAAGAAACTGCTAACAGGGCTCTGGGAGACACCTGGTAGAGGGTCATCTTACTGTTTTTTTCCTATAGTACATGTATTACATAGTAAAAAATATTTTCTTGACAATAAAAAGAAATCTGCTTTAGCCAACATCCCTGTTGGCAAGGGCAGACAGAAGCGGTATAATGTGTCCCACAGGTTAATTGAAACTGCTGGGGATTAGCGGAGAGGAAGGGCGGTTTCTGCTATGAACCATCCTCCCACTAGCAACAGCAAGAGCAATTCCTCCTCCCCATCCAGCCAGTCCGGGGCAGGCAGGACTCCCTGTTGCCAACAGGGAGCATTCCCAAATCCTGTTCTCTGGGACTCTGTTTCCATCTTCCAAGACAGAGGAATCTGCTCAGAGTTTACCGGCCAAGTGGGGACCCTGGAAAATGTGTAATGGAAACAGTGACACACTGCAGCCTTCAAGTTGACCCTACTGTTCCCAAACCACAGAGCCCCAGGGTGACTCTCAAGTTCTCAAATGGGTTTTGATCCTTTCCTGCCTAGGCCCCATGTGAATAGAAAGGGATGTGGTTCTCACAGCACCAGAACAGACTCCACCACTCTCTGCCAGAAGCTAGAAACCAGGCTCATGGCCCTGTTTGAAACTTGGGGCCCTTTTCCCCCCTTCCCTCCAATAGTTTTCTTTCTTTCTTCTAGGAATGGTGAGGCTTCACTTGCTCAGCATATATTTGATCTACTATGCGCTGAGCTCTGTTCTAAGAGCTAGGAAGTACTTGGGACCAGCAGTTAGAGTAATGGCTATGTCACTGGTCTCCCACGTAGTCGACCGCGGTTCGCGTCCTAGGCCCGGTGGCTTAAAACTCATGCTGGGTGCATGTGTGTGCGTGCCCAAGATCCTGAGAGGAGAACGGAGGAGAAGGGATTGTAGCGTGGCCATCCCCCCCTGGGGGGTGATTTCTTGCTTTCTGTCTGTCTCTGTCTGTCTGGCGAACACATGCGCCCTATAGCAAAAACCTCTCAAAAAAAAGAGCTAGGAAGCAGTGCCTCTTTCTTCAGGGAGCTTATATTCTAGCAGATACCCTGGTTTTCTCTGGACCCTGCTTAACATCTGGGCCTAAGAGCCTCCGGCCCAGTTTTCTGTCTTCAGTTTCCCTACCTGTAACGGAATGAAAGAATGTCACTGGCTAACAAGGTGATAGAACACAGAAAGAAGAGTCTGGTCTAGGACATAAGAGTCTTAAGTTGTATTTCTGGTTTTTAAACCATCTACAGGTGAAACAACTTAGCTTCCTTGGGTCTCCTTTTTACCATCTTTAAGGTTACTTAGCTAGCAGGTGGCATAGAGGTTAACGCAAATGAATCCCATATGGCCGACTATGTGGTCTGAGTCCCAGATATGGCGTTAGTTATTATTATTTTTCAAATTATCTATTATTATTATTCAATTTGACCAGAGAGAGTAATAATGAGAAAACAAGCCACCAGGTCCAGGACTCAAACTATGGTTGGCTATGTGGGAGTCCACTGCCTTAACCACCATGCCACCTGCTGGCCCCACATTATTATTTTAAATTAAATAAGTAATTTTTTAAAGAAAGAATACAACAGGGAGCCAGTGGGTGGCACAGTGGTTAAGGTACCCAGATCCTACATGGCTGACTGCACTGTTCAAGATAGTGGGTGCATGTGCATGCATGCCCAAGATCCCCAAAGGAACAAAAACATGGAGAAGGGATGGGACCAGCAGTTAGCGTAATGGCTATGTCGCTGGACTCCCACGTAGTCAAGGAGTTGCGTCCCGGACCCGGTGGCTTAAAACTCACGCCGGGCGCGTGTGCGTGTGTGCCCAAGATCCCGAGAGGAGAATGGAGGAGAAGGGATTGCGGTGTGGCTATCCCCCCTGGGGAATGATTTCTCGCTTTCTGTCTCTATGTCTCTGTCTGTCTGGTGAGCGCATGCGCCCTATAGCAAAAACCTCTCCAAAAAAAAGAAAAGAAAAACATGGAGAAGGGATTACAACATAACCATGCCGCATGAGAGGTGCTTTCTCACCTATCTCTTGTTCACTGGCTCGCTCTCAGCAAGTGCACGTGCTCTCTGGCAAAATTAAAACAATGACAACAAAAAATAAACAGGAGTATCCCCTGGACACTCCCCTCATTCCCTCTTCCAGTAACTACCCTGCCTGCTAGGAAACTACTTCCCTTCTTCCTTTTTAAATTTTATTTATTGTTATTCAATTTGCTATATGGCATGGGCACTCACCAGAAAGAGACAGACAGAGAAAAACAAGTGAGAAAGCAAGCCACCAGGTCCAGGACTCGAACAGTGATCTGCCATATGTAAATCTAGCACTTCAACCACCACGCGATCTGTTGGCTTCCCACTGTCCTTATTTCTAACAGCACAGATTAGTTTTGCCTGGTTTGAACTCTATATAAATGGAAACTTTTGTGAGTTTCATCTGTTGGGTGTAATTACCGATTGTTCATTCTCATGGCTGAGGGATGCACCGGTATGTGACTGTAACATCAGTACCCGTTCTCCAGTTGACTGGCACTTTTGGGTAGTTTCCCAATGTTTTTTTGGCTTGGGAAAAGTTTTTTTGGCGATTACAGATAGAGCTGCTATGAATAACTCTAGTGCACAGTATTTGGTAAACATATGTACATATTTCTGTGGAAATCCTTTGGAACCAAGCCGTAGAGCAGTCATAGGTTCGTCATTAGTAAATATCACCAATGTTCCAGAGTGACCTGTATCTTTACACATCTGCAAGCTGTGAGAGTTTTAATCAACATGTATGAGACGTTGCCTCCTGGGTTAAGTTAGCTGTTCTTTATTCATATTTCCAAGTATTTACGAGGTCTTCACAATTGTCATTTAAAATACATCTACAGAGATAAAATGATGAAGGGGGACAGACTCGGGCACTACAAAAATGGCAGAAAGCATTTAAATATTCAGAGGCTAAGCAGGTAATGAAAGTGAGTCAAGCGACTCAGTGGGGACCATGCCTGCCCTGGATAAACAAATGTTACTCAGAAGTGGCTGCCACGTGAAAATAGAGGCTTAAAGTGAGCATTATTTACTTTTTACTTTTTAGAAGCCGGAAATCCTGGGAACCAGCAGTTAGCATAATGGTTATGTCGCTGGACTCCCACGTAGTTGACCGCGGTTTGCGTCCCAGGCCTGGTAGCTTAAAACTCACGCCGGGCGCCTGTGCGTGGGTGCGCAAGATCCCGAGAGGAGAATGGAGGAGAAGGGGTTGTGGCGTGACCATCCCCCCTGGGGGGTGATTTCTCGCTTTCTGTCTCTATGTCTCTCTCTGTCTGGCAAGCGCACGTGCCCTATAGCCAAAACCTCTCCAAAAAAAAAAAAAGAAGCCGGAAATCCAAATTTTCAGGGTTTAGCTTCATATTTTGGTGGTGGAGGGGGGTTGTTATAGGGCGCGTGAGCTCGCCAGAAAGAGAGAGACAGAGAGACAGAAAGCTATAAATCACACACACACACACCTCGGAGGGATGGACACGCCGCAATCCCTTCTCCTCCATTCTCCTCTCAGGATCTTGGGCACGCACGCACCCTCGACCGGCGTGAGATTTTAAGCCACGTCTGGGCCTAGGTCTAGAACCGAGGTCAACTACATGGGAGTCCAGCGACATAGCCATTAGCCAACTGCTGGTCCCTAGCTTCATATTTTTAGAAAACACCAAAGAGAACTTTTCAGTGGGTCAGGTGCTCAGCCCTCGACTTTCAACCTCTGGCCTAGCTAGCTCACAGAGGTTGGCTTCGGGTGGGGAGTTTGATGTGCAGCAAGTCACCTCACTTGTTAGAGCTTCTTTTCCTCTCTGATCAAAAGGGTAAAATAAAAGCCGATCCATCAGTAGTGTGACGCTCAAATGAGGTAACTCAGGAGCGCAGGAATTGTGGGACACTTGGGAGTTTTCAGTTTCTTACCAAGGAGTCTAAAAGTAGAATTCCAGTGCACGCAAAGGTTTAGAAAGACCTTGGAATGGAATCCTGCAGGGATGCAAAGAGTTAAAGGAAATGGCCTAATAGGGTCTTGCTAATCCGAGAAGTCGAGGACCTCCAAAGTCTCTAGAACGCCACTAAAAGCCACGACTCAAAGAAGCTACGATGGTAGTCCCCGCGAGGGCCGGTGGGACCCTCTAGTACCTGTAGAGCAGAACGAGTATCGAGCATCGGCCGGGCATACCGTTACTCCGGACCAAGGCCTGGCCGAGCGCCGAGGACATGTCCCGGCTTCTCCGGCCAACCTAGCATACCCAGGTGAGGCGCGTCCCGGCGCCGCACTCTTGCAGCTGGAGGGCTGCGCTGCCCAGAGCTAGGCTGCGCCCACCGGCTCCAGACCCCGAGCGGTGGAGTCCGACACGCGCCGCGTCCTCGCCGCGTCCCGCGCCGTCCGGGAGTGCGCGCGGACCAGGCCACAGAAAGTTGGCGCTCGCGCCGCCGCCCGCGCGCTC